CAACTTGTTATCAAAAAAAATAAAAATGTTCAACTTATAATTTCAATTCCAGTGTCAAACTTTTGAATTCAATCATTCAACTGCAGAAAGGGATTTTCCTTCTCTATTCATTTAATTCCAATGCTGCTTCTTTACACTAATTGAAATGGCTTTTTACCAAGCACCCAAACTCATCTTACTCTTGAAATTTCCAGCTTCAAACGAATAAAATCAATCAAAGGGCCCCCCTTACCTAAATTATAACAGTGCAATAATCTAAAACTCAAGACAGTACTGCAAAACTATAGATGATCTCGTTCAACAAAACTGAAAAAATAAACTAATTAACAATCATAAATGACCAGAGCCTCTGTGCCACCACTAGGCAACCCCATAATCTAATTTGCACAAAAGTGAAAAAATAAATTATAATAATTTAATAGTTAATAGTAAGCTTAGTTGGGATAGGCCAATTCTACAATAAACTATAAAATATAGTTGTATGAATAGAGTATTTTGACCTTACAATTTCTACGCCATCCACCGAAACTTAGGTGTGTTAACGGGCCGTAGCCGAGCCGAGCTTTGGTTTTAAAAGGTTAAGCCTGCATCTAAATATGTCAGCCTGACCAAGCCTGTTACTTGTTATAAATATAATTATCAGCCAGTGACCTGACTTATTTACAAAAAATAAAAGTCTGGTTTAGCCTGTTTACAAAAAATAAGACAACAAAAATTTATTCAAACAGAATATATAATCAACAACACTCGTAATTCCATAAATATTCATAAATTCAATGTATATCCAAATAGCATAAAATAAAACAGGATCATTCAAAAAGTCTGTTTAACAATTAAAATGGGATAAAATGAATTGAGGAGAAAGAGATGACTATTACAAGTAGTATAAAAAATATATATATATATATATATATATATATATATATATATATATATATGGGTCAAGATCATTTTACACCAGTGTAAGTTACACTTTTAATCTTGTCCTTTGATCCCACTTATATTTAAGGGCTCTAATTTTTTAGTAATGCGAGCCATTGGATACAAGTGGATCAATGGTCAAGATTGAGTGTAGGACTTCCAACTCTTACACCGGTGTAAGAATATCCTGCTCCTATATATATATATATATATATATACTAGGTCAGCCTGTGAGGCTCTAAGGCCGAACTTTTGAATTGGAGTCTGAGGTCTTTTTATTAAACGAGCTTTTATACAAGTTCTAGCCTGGTGCCAACAATCAATTTTAGACATGTAAGCTCAGGCCTTCACGAGCCGAGCCAAAAGTACATGATTCGTTTAGCACCCCTACCAACACTTACGAAAAAAATAAGATAAAGATATTATATAAAATAATTTTAATCTAAGACCATTGGCGCGTAAACACCTCCCTCCCACCACTCCTAAAATTTTTGTTAGATGCTAAGTTGACAACTTCTATCAAATGCGGAAACCATAGCAAAAGGCCCAATATCACCCCCCATTTGCTTCATAAACAACAACTATTCTCATCGTGACACACAACAACAAAATAACAAACCTAGCATTCACAATTACCCGGGCAAACAGTGTGTAGAAAGTAAGGTTAATAAGAGTGTCAGAGTTATATTGATGACTTCAAATTTTGAAGTTCTTGCAAGTGATCCTACTTGTTCTTGTAGTTTCTTTCAAAGTTTTCATATTCGAAAGATAAATTTGATAAATAGAGTATTCAATACGTCCAATTAGAAATCGGTAAGTTGATATGGAATCAATAAACTCGCACTGTGCACAAAAAATAAGCGAGGAGTATGCGCACAGTAATAATTAAAAGAGAATAGAGCATAAAGTGTGTAGTTGTTAGCTTAATCCCTTATTTATAAATAGGCTAGACGATAAAAGTAGGATTCTAATTAACTCAAAGATATTGGAGGCCTAATATTTAATCCATTTGTGATATGATAAGATCATTATTGTTTTTCTCTTAATTTGACACATAAGTTGGATCCATAATATAACATGAAGGAAATAAAGTTACTTTTGACTTAAATCCAAAGTTGCCACACAAAAAGTTTATAGTGCATGCATTAGAATCTTAATGAACCGGAGAAATGTTATTGTGCGTGAAGGATAATTTTGGCTGAAACATATTTAGGGTAGATAAACAGTGTAATTTTGCCTATTAAGATAATCCTGTTTTCTGAGTATTTACAGAGAGATGTGTATTCTCTTATTTCAAAAGAGAATAATATTATTAGTTACCAAAAAAGAGAGAATATAATATTATTATCTTTTTAGATTTAAAGTGATGCGTAATTTCTTTTACGTAATGATTTTTTTATCACTTGTATTGTGGTTTTTTTAAAAATTCAATTTAGGATTTTTTTTACGTTAAATGTTGTGTGATGTTGTTTGCATAATTCCTTAACTCTTGCATTGTGGATTTTTGTTTAATTCAATTGAGAAATTTTCATGCTAAATTTTATGTGATGTTGTTTGCATAATTTTATTAACCAACATAAATATCATTATTAAGCTTATACATAAAACTTAATGAAATATCACTAGCTTAGAGCTTGACTACTCAAGCAATTTAGCTTTCTACAACATTATTCTTTATTTATTCTTATAAGAATCACATTCTCATCAGGTCATTGAAATCACCACTATTTTTATTTATTCTCTATGATCATCATCATTTTAATTTATTTCTTTTCTTTTAAGCTAATAATTTAGCTTACATGGCATATATAAAACAGTGCATAATGAAATATTACTTTAATATTTTATTCATTTATTTTTTTGTCTTTTAATATTTTATTCATTTATTTTTTGTCTATCTTATAATATTTTATAAAACTATGGACTTTAGCGCAATTTTATTGGCTTTTTGACCCTTTTTCCCTTTATTAAATAATTAATAATCATTTTGTCCCTTATCCAGAACTATCTATCAATCTGTCTCTCTTTAATCGATTAACTTGAAGATTTAATCGATTAAATGATCAAAGTAGACAAAAATGACTGACTTGAAGATTTAATCGATTAAATCTTTAACTTAATCATTTAAATCTTCATACCAAATGGTGAGACTATCTCCTTATTGGTGTTGGGGAATTTGGTGCCTGCCTGCAGCGGAATCCATTTCATGCACAAAAGTTACAAGGGTTGCACACAATTTTCTGCTATTTATATATATGTATACATACATGACTCACGTTTAGTTCCTCTTTGTTTCAACCCGCTTATGTCGGTTTGAAGAAAAAAAAAGGGCTTCGCTCACATCTTTCCAAAAGTGACAGGTTTCAGATTGAATTATTTGAAGATTTAATCAATTAAGTTGAAGATTTAATCGATTAAATCTTCAAGTCAATTATTTTTGTCTATTTTGATCATTTAATTGATTAAATCTTCAACTTAATCGATTAAAGAGGGGCAGATTGGTAGATAGTTCTAGATAAGGGGCAAAATAATTATTAATTATTTAATGAAGGGCAAGAAGGTCAAAAAGCCCAATTTTATTATGTATCATTTCTACAATAATTATTTTAAGAAAAATGATAATTTTTAAAATACAGTTTTCATAGCTGATTTACAAAAATGAGGTGTTGGATGGTAGTAAATGTTTATAAAAAAAAAATTGTAGTAAATAATCAATGTGTGCATTTTTTTAAATAAAATCACTTATTATTTTAATTACTTAGGAGTGACAATACGGGTTGGTGCATGTTGTGTTTGGGTTGATACAAATTTAATATGAACACGAATACTATCGACACAAACATAATACAGATAATTATTTGTGTTCAAATTATCGACACGAATATGATCTGTTTTCTACAAGAGTTGACACCATATAATATAAATAACTTATTAATTTTATTTTTTTAAAAGAAAATATTTAAATAATCTCATATCAATAAATAAAATTATGATAAGTGGGATAATTATTTAATTTAAAAGAGTTAACACAAATATGAATATAATAAATAATAGAATAAAAATTTATTCCTATTAAGCACATTTTCTTTTCTCAAAAATTGTTACCAGACACAGAAATATAAAAGAATTGTTTATTTTAAAAACATTGTCAGGAAATCGAATGATTGTCATGCACACCTTAACTTTAAGGGGTTTTAGGTTGAGATGTGATGTCATCATCTTATTATGATTTGTTATTTACTCTATTTAAGGTGTCCCTTGCGAAGAGTTTTGAGCTCCCGTTACTATTCCCAACACTAAAGCCATCAAGAAACATTTAATGCATTTATTAAATTTTCTAATTACTTAAAAAAGAAAATAATAAAATAATATTTTAAAAATGTTTAATATATATAATATTTTATTTTTGTAATTTTCTAACAAATGCCATTAATGCACTACTTAAAAAATAAAAAATAAAATAATTTTTCTTTCAAACATATAAAAATATTTAATGAAAAATATTAAATATTCAATACACAACAATTGTTTATCAAACCCAGTTTTTATATACCCTAAAGAAAACAACAACCCTTGTTACAAAAAAAAAAACCACAAACCCTACAATACAATTTTCAAATGGATGAATTTTCAATATTTCTGTAATTTCAGCTACACTTGTTATAACATAAAAAGTAGGACTCATGTAATTATATTTATTCCTCTTAGACTTTACATTAAATGGCACATTAATTCATTTATTTTTAATTTTAATGAAGAAATATATATTACTAAAATTTTATTAGCCCCACCAGCCCCAGCCAAAGACCAAGACACTTGTTTTCCATTAATGGTTTACTAAAAGTGGATGCACAGGATCACATTTTCTCCTCAATTTCTTCTCAAAAAGACCAACAAGTCCAAGGTTTCTGAGGTGGACCCTTATCACTTGTTCTCCTTTTTTGAATTCCCCAAATAAATCATAATGAACCTTCAATCCAAAATAAAAATAAAAAAAAAAAAAAAAAAAAAAGTGGTGGCAGGAGTTATATATATATATATGACAGATAGATGTTTCTTGTCACACTCGCTTACTCGCTCACTCTGACGCTTTATCCTTTTCTTTCTCACTCACATAACACCAACAACGTTTGAACCCTAAGGCGTGTGCGTGCGTTTTTTGTCTCACACACACACACAACACACACAGTGTATGGTTTCGATTCTTCGCAGGTTATGGCTTCGGACAGTGCTTCTCGTTCGAGTTCTGCGGCCGATTCCTACATTGGCTGCTTGATCAGCTTGACATCAAAGAGTGAGATCAGATATGAGGGTGTTCTCTACAACATCAACACCGACGAATCCAGTATTGGCCTCAGAAACGGTATTCTCTTCAATGGGTTTCTTTTTCTTTTTAACTGAATTTCGTTCTATCTTTCTCAGATCTTTGAGACGAAGTTGATAAATAATTTAATCTATTTTTTTTATTATTATTGTAATTTTTTTTCTCCCGTGGGGAAAGAAATTGGTCTGAATTTCTTGTTGTTTTTGGGGTCTTGTGTTGATATGTTGAAACGGGTGTTGATTATTTTTGAGTGGCGCTGGGGTTGCTTATATTTGGATTGAATTCTTGTTTGAATCTGAAAGCTTGATATAATGATATCTGATTCCGATCATTGTGTTTTTTTAGTGGTTTGGAAGCTTTGTGATAAACTTTCTGGGTTGTAGGTTTCTGAATTGTACTTCTTTCGTTGTTGCATGTGATTTTCACTGACAAACAGTTATGATTTTGTTATTTGTTCTCTCTCCATTTGTCCCTCTTTCTTTGATTTTTGGTGATTGCTTATGTGACTATCTGGAAGGATGGTGATGGACACTGATGGTGAGCTTTGGGTTTGGTTCTTGGGTTGTTAAATACAGGGAAGAAACTGCGCTGAACATCTGATTGTTTTGGAGTCTCCTGTTGAAAAAAGATGTAAATGTTTCAAAAAAAATTCAGTAGCGCTGAGGTTTTATGTTTTAGCATATGTGCAGCCTTGAAATTGAATTTGAATCTAAAAGCATGTTATCTGCTGCCCATCAGTGTGTTTATAGTGCTTTAAAAGCTATTTGATAACCTGTCTGGGTTTTGGGTTTCTGAATTGTGATTCTTTCATTGTTGTGTGTCATTCTCACTGGTTGTTAATTAGGGTTTTGGTTTCTGATTTCGTTATTTTTTCTCTCCACATTTGTCCCTCTGTCTCTGTGATTGTTTGGTGATTGCTTATCTGGCTCTTTTGGGGGTGAACCTTGGCGTGACATTAAGGTTGCTGCTTTATGACCTATTAGTCATGGGTTTAGTCTTGTTAACGGTCTTTCAAATTCCAGTCATGGGGTAAAGACGTGTACAACCGATCCTTCCTAAACTCCCACAACAGTGGGCTCCTTGTGTGCTGTGACACCCTATCATTTATAATTTTTTGTCGTGTTCCCTTCGTCCAAAAGAATTGCAGTGATCATCCAAAAATTTGAACTACAGTTCTTTTTTGTGAAGGGAACATAATGATTTAATGGAAAGGATTTCAATATTCATTAAAGAATGGAAATGATACAGATTGTTTTTCCTCTATTGTATGGTTAACCACTGGGAAATAATAATAAGTGTCACACCTATTTCTATAAAAAAGTGGCATACATATATTACTTATACACAAAAGGAAAGAGTTTTTATAGAATTTTACTAAAAGGGTGGCCCTGTGCACAAGTCACTCACCATTGTGGGGTCAGGGGAGAGTTAGATGTATGCAGCCTTATCCCCGTGAATGGAGAGGCTGTTTTCATGATTAGAACACGTGGCAATCAGGTCACAAGTAGGGTTGTTTATAAACGAATCAAACCGATCCAAACCTAATAGAATGAATCATTTTGTTCTGTTTTCCTTTTACGAAATTTGACGGGTTCAGTGTAAATGAAAACCAATAACCAAACCGAACTCATTTTTAGATGATTAGATATTAAATTTTTGTTCTTTCGATAGAAATCTTTAGGTCAAATTATTTTTTATTTCTATTTGATGATGTTTCTATTAGAATATTTGTTGATAGGCCATAAAAAAAGTGATTTTTTTTTTCAAAGGAAAAATGGCTTAGCAAAAAGTCGAATGGACAAAACCAAATTAATTGAGATTGGTTTGGTTTTTCAACCAAAATCAGTTATTAATTGCTCACGATTGTGCTACATATGAGGGTAGCGTTCCCAACTACTATTCCTACGATGCAACACTATAATTTGTTGTAGCAGCCGCAATCGCGGTCCTAATCACCAGAAATCTCGACCCTTGTGAATGTGTCAGATCCCATATTTGGCAAACCCTTGTGTAATTGGTGTCCCATGCGTCCTTTTTTTTCTTCTTCCCTAGATAAGGTTGCCTTCGAAGTTTCGAACCCTATGCCTCCTGTCTCTTTCTCTCAATTGACTTTTGACTCTTGCCACTTTCTATCTAATGTAAGTCCGCTCTCTCCTTCGACCCATTTCTCGCTCGACTAACAATGGCTTATTGCCTCTATTTTCTCTCGCCCCACTTCCTTTTTTGTCTCCTCTATTTTGTGATTTTCCAAAAAGGCTCCACCAGAAATTACCTCAGCCTCTATTTTCTCTCAACTTCATTGTAGCGGCTACACTGCTACCCTTATATCACTATAGTGTTTTTGGGCTTGGCTGTTACGCACCACCATCCTCATTGATAACTATGATTAAAATCTAACAGATTGGTTTGATTTGGATGACTTATGTCTCAAAATTAGACCAATCCATTTTAAGAACACCTCCAGTCACAAGGCAGAAAACCACATTGTGGTGCCAAGACTTTTTTTTTCCCCCAAAAAATAAAACTAGAATTTACTTATTAAATTATGGTTATCAATCGCAGATAGCGGCGTGTAGTGGTCAACCTTATGTGAGGGGACATGTTAGAAAAGTATAATATAAAATGTGAAAATCATTAATGTGTTCACCTAACAGCTTAAGCTTTTAGGTTGAAATGATTCTTTATATTATTTTTTAAGTTGTTCGCTTGTTGGATCAAAATTTCTGGCCATTAGCTTTCAAATTTGCATGATGTGCTAGATCTTATTCTAACAATGTGGATTATTTTATATTTGAATTTTGTTATTTAGTTATCATAATTACATGCTGTCAAGCAACTTCTGTGTATATTGTTTACTGTCACAAGCTGACATGTTGAAGTTGTACTTTTGTTTTTGTGGTTGTGGGGCAGTGCGATCTTTTGGAACTGAAGGAAGGAAAAAGGATGGTCCTCAAATTCTACCAGGTGACAAGGTCTATGAGTATATACTGTTCCGTGGGACTGACATCAAGGTATTATATTTGGAACATATAGCACCTTTTCAAAATAGCTACTGTACTTGTGCCTATTTTGTTGAATTTTCCTTGGAAGGAATGAGATGAAATTTCTTTTTTTTCTTTTTTTTTTTCCTTGGGTGTATTTTTGGTGTTTTTTTTTTCCTTGGGTGTATTTGTGGTGTTTTTTTTTTTTTTTGGGGGGGGGGGGTGGGAGAGAGTGGGACTACTTGGTCCTTGAAGCATTGCAATACTGTGTTATTTATGCTATTTTCTGGCATTAATCCTTGCCTCCAATCTTTTTAAATATGGAATACTGTTTCTAGTACTTGCTTGCAAATCACATTTAGTATCATTAGATATGGAAGTAGGGAAAAGGAAGTCGGTCCTGATTTTTGGATGCCCTTTTATATGGATATTGTTATTACATGACACCTGCTGTATTTAAATGTTACTGCATGAGGGCTTTTAGTGATTTATGTGCCATCTATATGAATCGGAGCAGCTGAAACATCTTTTATAATTCTTTCTGCAGGATTTACAGGTTAAATCTTCTCCACCTGTCCAGCCTACTCCACCAATAAACAATGATCCAGCTATTATTCAGGTTGATGAGTGACTTTTTGAATGCATAATGCATCAAGTTATATTAATCACATCCTAATTTGTGGCATTACCTTGTAGTCTCAGTATCCTCGCTCAGTCACCACATCTACAAGTTTACCCGCTGGAAGTGGGTCTTTGGCTGATCTTAGTTCTCACAGCGCACAGCTTGGACACCCTGGATCAAATTTTCAAGAGCCCTTGCCTTTGTATCAACCTGGAGGGAACATAGGGTCATGGGGAGCATCTTCACCTACCCCAAATGCAAATGGTGGTGGGCTTGCCTTGCCAATGTATTGGCAAGGATATTATAGTGCTCCAAATGGTCTTCCTCATTTACACCAGCAATCTTTGCTTCGACCACCACCTGGCTTATCGATGCCTTCGTCTATGCAGCAGCCAGTACATTTCCCTAATTTTGGTCCCTCTTTACCAACTGGACCTTCAAATTTGCCAGAATTCCCTTCAGCTTTACTCCCCATGGGTACTACTTCCCCTAGTCTAACATCTACTTCTATACCTCCCTCAAATCTTCCATCAACTTTACCTCCAGCACCTTCTGCTGCAATAGTGCCTGAAAATCTGCAAGCATTAGTTCCAAACAAGGCACCAACTGTTTCGCTTCCAGCAGTCACGCTAGCTGCTAACTTACCATCACTTTCTCCTTTTTCCAATGGTGGTCCAGATGCTAGTGCTGTAGCGCCACTGGTCAACAAACCTAACGCAATTTCAGGTTCAATCTTGCCATACCAAACTGTATCCCAGCTGACTTCTGCAATGGTTGGATCATCAAATTCTATCCGTACAGGAACACAAGCCCCTTCTCTGGTAACCCCTGGTCAATTATTGCAGTCTGGACCAACTGTAATATCTTCATCTCAGCCTTCACAAACACCTCATAAGGATGTTGAAGTGGTTCGAGTATCGTCATCATTGCCTCCAGAGCCATCTGTGCCAGTTTCTGCTGAAACTCAGCCACCAATACTGCCATTGCCAGTAACTACACGGCCCAATCACAGGGTACTCTTTTCTTGCTCTCTCTTTTTTATGCATGCACAGACGAGCAGATTTTCGTTTTACATGTGCTTGTATGTGTGTATATAATTAGCCGAGTGGACGCAATGCTCTTGTAAATAGACTGGATTATCTTCTCATCATCTGCGACTATTAGATTAAACTTTCACTGAGCTACTATAGGCAGGTGCATACTTGCCACTGCTCATCCCGTAATCTACACCTTGAACATATGAGGAATTTGTGGAAGTTGTGCTCTATATTTTAGAAAGCCTGTTTGTTCCTTTGAGAGATTTTAAAGTAGGATTTGGCCTGGTTAGTCTGTAGTTTAATTGGCAAACTGCCATACAGGAATATGATGATTGATGAGCCTCCTATTTGTTTCTGTTCTTACATTGATTAAGTAAATTTAGCCCTAGACCATTCATACAAAGACTGCAAGTATGGATATTTATCATATTAAATTATCTTTTTATCATCTTTCTTTTGATTGAGGACTTTCTTCAGCCTGGTGGAGCTTCTATCCAAACTCATCATGGCTATGGTTACAGGGGACGTGGAAGAGGAAGAGGAACTGGGGTAATGCTCTGTTTATTATTTCATTTAAGATGAAGCAAGGAACTCTTAGCTCCTTATATGTACAGAACCTGAGAACTTGTTCTAAGATTTTGGAATTTTTTAAGTTAAAGTCAGGAGTATTTTTTTTTTTTTTTTGGGGGGGGGGGGGGGGGGGGCTAGGGATGTTACTTTTTTAGAATTTATGGATTCTTTTACTTAACATTGTGTTAAAAGAATGAAATTGCTCATAAGTATTTCTTGTTTTGTGTGTGGTCTTTATGAGGTCAGATGTGTGGTGTTTTTTTTCACCTAAGTGGTGGTTAAGCAATGTAGATTAGTTAAATATATCTGGCAGATGTATTTTCTCTCACTAATTTGACATTTTTTTTACATAAATAATTGTAAGATTGAAATTTTGATTTAATGCTTTGCAGGGTTTGCGCCCAGTTCAAAGATTCACTGAAGACTTTGATTTCATGGCAATGAATGAGAAGTTCAAAAAGGATGAAGTATGGGGTCATCTAGGTAAAAGCAGTAAGTCTCATTCAAAAGAGAAAGATGGGGAAGAGAATGCCGGTGATGAAGATGACATTCAAGATGAAGAAGACAATGGTGATGCATCAAAGTTGGATGTTACGGTAATGTTTTCACGTTCTTGTGTGTAACTGGATGCAGTCAGTTATTATGTTAATGTACTTCTGTTGTCACAATGTATAATAATTCTTTTTTCATGGTTTCCACAGCCTGTTTATAATAAGGATGATTTCTTTGACTCACTCTCTTGCAACGCGCTTGATCATGATTCGCAAAATGGAAGGATTAGATATTCTGAGCAAATTAAGATTGACACCGAGGTAATGTCCATCTTGGTTTGACCTCATATTTGGTTATAATTTTCAATTCATTTGCTGATTTGTGATGCAGACATTTGGTGATTTTACGAGGCACCACCGCGGTGGCTGGGGGGGCCGTGGTCCATGGCGTGGTGGACGATCTCGTGGTGGTTATTATGGAAGGGGTTATGGCTATGCAGGAAGAGGAAGGGGGGGACGTGGCATGTCCAGTCGTCCTTCTTAGATGGCTGCAGTGATGGTGTTTGGTTGAAGTTGTGGTGGTGGGGAACAAAAGCCAAGTGAAGCCACCCACTAAAGCAGTGTTTCTTGAGTCTATCTATGCTTCAATATTGTGTTTTCTTTATTACTGTTTGGTCACAGAATAAGTAGGACAGTTTTTCTTGTCATGTTGCCTTATTACCCAAAGGAACCTGGTTTGGTGGAAAGATTTTTCAGCACCATTTTGTTTTTAGTTCGTATAAGTCAGAAGTTTATTTTGACTAGTTTCTTGCTGTATATTGTTTATGCATGGAAGCAATCAGCAAGTTGTGCATTTCAGAGACGTGTTTTCTCTCGTATTGTTTGCATTGTAAATGCGAGTTACAGTTTTTATATGGAAGCTGGTCTTTCTAAATTGATGCATTTAAAGCATGTTTGTGAATAATTTCTCTATTATTGCCTTTTGATTTACTAAATTATTCATTAGTGAATTTAAACAAAAAATAATAATAATGTTGTTTTGATTAAGAAATTATTTTTATTAATGCGCGATTAAAAATAATTAATAAAGATCATGAATATATAATTAAAAAATATAGTAAATATTTAAATTAGTTCACTTCCCTTAACAAGAAAATTACATTTAAGATATTTGAATGTATATTTTACAGATCAAATTAGTTACTACATTAATTAAGGATGGTAAGAAATAATTTAATCAAAGAAATGCACATTAAAAGACTTTAGACATAATTTTTATTGTTCAGAGACTAATATAACGGATGTTGTGTTTTTAATACTGGTTTACAATTACTCTTAAAAATACTGATAACCTTGCCTGTTCTTAAAAATACTGGTTATACGATTGTCTCGTTATCAAGTTAATACAAGAATTCTGCGGTGTCACTCGTAGTTTGGTATCTTGCATGGTTGTATTATTGTTAGTAGTTGAACTAATGTTAGATGAAAATAAATGCAATGGAAAATTTAATATTGAAAAATTATCAATATCAAATCTCTAAATATTTAAAAAAAAAAAGAAAAAAAAGTAGAGAAATTATTAAAAATTCCTGAAATAAGAGAAGTATCACCAAAACCAAGTCAAGAATATAGATGGAAATAATCAAAAGATTGGTTGAATCATGTGGATAAATAACCCCAATGTTAAATTAGGAGGAGGAATAGGCAACGGGCAAAAACGGCTACATCAAGTTCCAATCTTTTTTCCTTTTCCAACTCACCACTAAAGTAGGATTAAACTTAAAACAAGGAAAGAAGGAACAAAAAAACCACTGGGCCCTGGGGAATGTTCCTTTTCAATTCAAACTTGTTCCTTTGGTTGGTTTAACTTCAAATCATTCATGTGACCAAATGTAGGTAACATATTAGACCCACCAACCATTTGAGAACTTTTGTCAATAATCTCTTTGGGCAAAGATTTGTCACTTAGCATCTTAGCATGAAACTTTTGTGTCTGAGACTGAGAGCATTATTGGAATCTGCTTGTAAATGAAGTTTCCAAATCTGGGTTTTGCTTAGCTTTGTGCGTGGGTCTCTCTTTTGCTTTCTTCTGCCCCAGTTGTGGATTGTGGGTCACTGTGGTTTCATTTCCAAAAGCTCTAATGGTTTGAGCAGTCAGTTGTGGAGGGTGGTTCAGGAAATGGGCATGGTTAGGACATTGATATCATCGCCTATACCTTCATGATAGTCAGGTTAGGACTCCTGGTAGCTGCTTCAATCGCAGCCTTTACAGTTAAGAAGCTTAATGTGAATGGCTCAAAATCAGGTAATAGTGCTAATTCACCTTCTTTTCTTCTTTTTTTGACATTTTCTTTTTATCATTTCACTTCTCAATATACAAAAAAATTTCCACTTGCTTCATGTTGATGGCTAATCCTATAGAATAACTTTGACCCTATTTGTTAAACTTCATTCTCATTGAGTCTCAGAACATTGTGAAGCAAGGTTTAGAAAACATCAAGATCAAGGTACAGAACAGGAACAGGTCATTTGTTCTGGTAATGGTCTCAAAGAGAAGGATGTAAGTATATTAAGCTGAAGTTACCAAATTTTACTAATGGGAACTTTCCTTTACCTTTGAAATATGATTTGACACTGTTGCAGGGGGAAGAAGAAGACCAAGAAGAGGAGGTTAAGTTAATTAGCAGCATAATCAATCAAGCTAATGATTTTGAAGATGATATTCTTTCAGAATTTGAAAGCCTTCTATCTGGGGACATTGAGTTTCCATTACTTGCTGACAAGATTGATGAGGCCAAGAAAGACAGAGTTTATGAAAATGAAATGGCAAACAATGCCAGTGAATTAGAATGGTTGCGGAATCTGGTGAAGGAATTGGAGGAGAGGGAAGTGAAACTTGAAGGCGAATTGCTTGAGTACTATGGTTTGAAGGAGCAGGAGTCAGACATTGTGGAGCTACAAAGGCAGTTGAAAATTAAGACTGCAGAAATAGATATGCTTAATTTGACCATTAATTCCTTGCAGGCAGAGAGGAAGAAGCTTGAAGAAGAGCTCACACATGTAGCTTCAGCCAAGGGAGAACTTGAGATGGCCAGAAGCAAGATCAAGGAGCTGCAGAGGCTGATACAGCTTGAGGCTAACCAGACAAAAGGCCAGTTGTTGTTGCTTAAACAACAAGTTTGTGGTCTACAAGCTAAAGAAGAAGAGGCTGTCAACAAAGATGCTGAAATTGAAAATAAATTGAGAACTCTGAATGTCTTAGAGATTGAAGTTGTAGAGCTTAAGAGAAAAAACAAAGAACTTCAACATGAGAAGCGAGAACTAACTGTTAAACTCAGTGCTGCTGAATCTAGAATTACGGAACTCTCCAATATGAAAGAGGTTAGAGTCCTACAATAGACATCTTTCCTTCAATGAGATGGACAGATTCATGAAACCAATATTTAAGAATTGCTCATAATTTAACCGGTGTATGCTTTGAAGTTTTCAAGCACCTAAATTGGAAATTTTTAAAACAATTTTTAACATTACTGAGTCCTACTTTTTGATTTTGTCAGTGAACTCATTACTTACATTCTCAGTAACTGAGAAATGATAACTGAACAACCTCAGTGTATATCAAGAATGCAATGCCAAATTAAGCATTAAACCTAAATGGTGTTTATATAAATACAAAACAAGCTGTTTTTCTTTCTTTTTAGTAAACACCCATGTCTTTTTCTTTCTGCAGTGCCTTGGACTATGTTGATATATGGTATGTTTATTGATTAAGGGGGATATGACAATATAGAAGCGAATTCTTTTAAAGATCTATATAAATATATTAATTTATTCAATTAATTGGAAATTCATTTGAATAAAATGTTGATAAGGGTTGTATACTTCTTTCATGGCAGTGATAAATTAATATATATTTTGTGTATCTTATACACGTAATGAATGTAATTTAATTTTGATATGCTTTCTTTGAGCTGCAGAATGAAATGGTTGCCAAGGCAAAAGAGGAAGTCAGTAGCCTGAGGCATGTAAACGAAGACCTGCTAAAGCAAGTGGAAGGACTCCAAATGAATAGGTTCAGTGAAGTTGAAGAGCTTGTATACCTTCGTTGGGTCAATGCATGCTTAAGATATGAGGTCAGGAATTATCATGCACCACCAGGAAAATTATCAGCCTGTGATCTAAACAAGAGTCTCAGCCCAAAATCACAAGAGAAGGCTAAGCAGCTAATGTTAGAATATGCTGGATCAGAACGTGGGCAAGGTGACACAGATCTTGATAGCAACTTCTCCCATCCCTCTTCTCCAGGCAGTGAAGATTTTGATAATGCTTCTATTGATAGCGCTACTAGCAAATATAGTAATCTTAGTAAGAAAACTAGCTTAATCCAAAAGTTGAAGAAATGGGGTAAAAGCAAAGATGATGCAATTGCTCTTTCATCACCAGCCAGATCTCTTTCAGGAGGCTCTCCTAGCAGGACGAGTATGAGCAATAGACCTAGGGATACACTGGAATCCTTGATGCTAAGGAATGCTGGTGAAACTGTAGCCATCACTGTCTTTGGGCAGAAGGATCAGGAACCTACCGATTCTCCTGAAAATCTAATTCTTCCTAACATAAGAAAAGTTTCATCCAGTGACTCCTTAATTTCTGTTGAAGCTTCATTCCAATTGATGTCTAAGTCAGTTGGCGGGGCTATGGATGAAAAATATCCTGCATATAAAGACCGTCATAAACTAGCCTTAGCAAGGGAGAAACAAATTGAGGAAAAGGCTGAGGAAGCAAGAGCACAGAAGTTTGGTGACAATTCAAATTTGAATATGATCAAGGCTGAAAGAGAGAGACCAATATCTTTGCCACCAAAACTAACTCAAATAAAGGAGAAGGCATATGTTTCTGGTAGTCCAAATGATCAATCTGACAATTGTAAGAATATTGATTATCAAACCATTAGCAAGATGAAGCTTCCCCACATTGAGAAAAGGCCTACTAGGGTTCCTCGGCCACCTCCTAAACCTTCTGATGGTGCTCCTGTTAGCACAAATTCAAATCCTTCCAAGGGAGTACCATATGCTCCATCTATGCCTCCTTCTCCTCCCCCACCACCACCATTAGGCGGACCACCTTCCCCTCCCCCTCCCCCAAGAAGCCTACCAAGAGGAGCAGTGGTCGGGGACAAAGTTCACCGGGCTCCTGAGCTAGTTGAATTTTATCAAACATTAATGAAACGGGACGCAAAGAAGGATACTTCATCATTAATTTCTTCAGCAACTAATGCATCCGATGCCAGGAGCAACATTATTGGCGAAATTGAGAATAGATCATCATTCCTCTTAGATGTAAGTTAAAATCTTCCCTCTGCTTTGTTATTTTCACATTTTAATCATTACAAACTTTAGAATGTTTATTCTAATGGACCTAGGTGAAAGCTGATATTGAAACACAAAGTGAATTTGTCATGTCCTTGGCAACTGAAGTTCGAGCAGCCTCCTTCTCTAAGATTGAAGATCTAGTGGCCTTTGTGAACTGGCTAGATGAGGAACTTTCCTTCCTGGTAAGCCTTTAAGTGTAGTTGCTCCTCATCATAGAAAAAACATGCTTCTAACTAAAACTAATTCATGCAAATTGTAGATTTTGTGAGAAAGCATGGAAGTTGATACCTTTGTGCTGTTTTAATATTAGCCCTAGAAAACCTCTTTATTTTATTTCCCTAGAAAAATGTATTCCTTTTATTCATGATTAGGTCATGCACTTTTTGACCTCATTTTCTCACCTTTTCATAAAATTAAAAAGAAAAAAGAAAGCTCATTTCCTCCTTTGCAACTTTATATCCAATGACTTCGTTTAATTCATCTCATTTTATTGCTTATATAAGGTTGATGAACGAGCTGTTATTAAGCACTTTGATTGGCCTGAAG